ATCTTCTGAGACCTGATTGAAATTTTCGTTGGTTTACCTAAAATGTTATAATACTATTTCTGCTGCATTTTCCTCTCCCTCTCTCGACTCCTCTACTCTCGCTGTGCACGCCCAGCGTGGTGATCGAACTTTAGGCTCATTTATTGCATTTATCAGGTCAACGCTACATGAGGTAATCTACCCGAGCAAAGACATTTACGTTATTATCCTCGACACCGCCCTCGGGAGGTATGTCATTGTGCTTTAACCACAAACGATGACCTTTGAAAAGCAAATAAATCAGCAAAAATGGATGTCTTTATCATGAAGTTTGGCGTAATTAATCCATTATTTATTTCAGAAAATTACTCTACATAAAGTGAAGTTCAATTGTTATATTGGTCTTCCAACCATTGCCTTTGACTATACTAAGATACCAAAACATGCGTCTCGAACGAAATGGAACGCAAACTGCGACAAACGAGTTGCTTCAGCTATGTAGTAGTACAAATCTGGCCTATTCCACAACAAAGAAGAAGACTTAGCTAAACAGTGATAAAGGAAAATAAAATATAACAAGTAATAACTATATGACGAGAAATATGGTATATTGTAAGAATGTGGCATTATGATGATCTGAGATCCGATTCTACCTATTAGCATATTAACACCATATTGTTTGAAGTGACCCAGTTATCGGACTGGTAGCAATATTTTCCACTTCATAGGGAATCATGTACAGTATTTAATTATTCGCTTCTAGCATTACATATTATATAACTGCCACAAGGGAAAATTAATATAACGTCCTTAGAAAATAAAAGATAGTGATGAGCCTGTATACGTGACCAACATGTCAGCAAGATAGTGATCACATTGTGCCAATTAGAGGTTTTAAAATAATATACGGTACATTTAAATGAGGTGATTTTGATATTATCAACACATGCACTTGTTAATGTTTGGTGTGCTGGTGGAGGGTCTGGTAAACCCTTATTTAAAACATATTGTATCTTACTATTATTATCTTGCATTACGTTTATACAAAAGTACTTTGCAATGACTTTAGAACAATATTTTTAGGGATGATTTCTTTAAAAATCTCACAAATGCTCTGTATGAGCTTTCACTTAAATGATAATTTCAAGTGCATAGATGTAGATACTAAATTTATTAATTTTATTTTGTTCCGCAATCATGTTCAAGATAAAACTTTCATGGGCAGTTTCACTTCCGTACCAGAAAGATAAAGAGACATGTCAAGGTGACTGTTATCTGTGTACGTCTCATAACTAGTCATTTCATTATCACGTCGTTTGAAAAGCGTGCATGAGGCAGTAACGTGCTTGAAATGGTCAGCTTATTGATAGTATTGTTAATTGTTGGGAAAAAACCACCATGAAGTGAAGACGAGAAAAGAAAACAATCAATTAAGTATTTTATAGTAGGCTTTTTAGGGGTTATTTTTTATACGTTAGCGTCCATTGCTGCAAACGCCAAAACGTTATATAAAAAAGAATTTAGAGTATGACCTGTGCAAACTCACCAAGATAAAGCGTTCATATCGACAAACTGCAACCTACCAAACACTATTTATGTCCACACCAGCTACGCACGGTTTTGAGACAATGATGTACCATTATACAACAAACACACCCAAAGAAACAAAAGAAATGATTTCAATACTATTTTGACTCATTCCGCATCAAGCATATATATATATATATATATATATATATATATATATATATATATATATATATATATATATATATATATATATATATATATATATATATATATATTCTGCATTTCATAAAACTGATCATCTGCTTCAAAGTCATAGGCCTATGTGGTAGAAACCTCTGCCTGAGAAAGGGAAATATATAATTTTAATTAAATAAATCTTTTTGTGGGTAACATAATACATGCATCCTGTATAATCACCCTTTTTATATTAGAGAGAAAACTAGAGAAAACACAAATATGAACTGAGTCTGTGTGGTGGTGACTGGTGTTCGTAGTTACATATCCAACAATATGAATATACATTTTATTTTTTCTGTTTATTCTTGGTTATTTTAAATCTTTTCAAAATGAATATCCTAAGAACTTCTTTATTATACGAAAACTACCTAATACATCATACAACACATTAATAAGAGAAAGCTATAGATGACTGTCAGAAATATGTTACGAATTTGGACACATGCATTCTAGAAGGATTGCATGAATGCATATTTTTATTGTAGAATAATAAAACTATTTCCAATAATTACAAAGAACATACTCAAAACAAAAACATGTCTGTGTAGTTTCACAAGATCGAAACTACTGCAAAAATTATTTTTTTACCCAAATAAATTATCACACTCTTCTAAGTATTTAATTAGTATATTATACATTTTCTTAAATTTTTTAATAAGAATCAGAACAGCATTGTGAAAGGCAATTCAGCCTTATGTGTTGATGTTATTGGAAATGCATCCTCATACAAGATATAAATAGCACATAGACAAAAGATAGATTTCCCATGATCTGTTGCAACGTATACAGTCATACATTATTATTAATACATGTTAAATAATAGAACAATGCTAATTAAAGTACATTTATGAAATTGATCTGACTTAAGCTTTTATTGTTTAAGTACTCTTTTTCTATCTCATATAATCAATTAAACTAGTTTAAATTTCGTATTATTGTATGACTTATTTGCACAATATTAACTATGGGTTTATCTGTAAAATCTTTACATATTTTCGTGTAATGTTGTGTAGTCTTATTGACTCATTAAGTAATTAGTCCTGTAATTCATTTTCCACATTCACAGTCTATCATTAAAACTTATGAAAAAACACTTATTATCTATATTTGTTATTAAATACAGTCTAATTATAGTATTAAACTTGATTTTCAGGTACTAACGCCAACGACAACTGTGGAGATATTTGCACCCATGTATGTGAATACTTAAAAAGACAAAATTCCCAACTTATATTACAGACTAAATAAATAACTCACGTACGCCCATTCCTCCAATGACAAGACAATACTTGTTTAAATAATTATTCATCATCATTTGGTGCAACTAAATATTAGCGTCCTATTGTTTGATTTTTATTTATTTTTTTAATCTGTTTATTTAAGATACATTCCCGATAAGTATTACCTTTTTAATAACATATTTTCCAATATTTTAACCTTGCATCACATATTTAACATTTCCCTTGTATTAACCCTACCATTTGGTTCAAGAACATTCAGGTTTCCATATTACTCACCACACTATACACTATTTCAAATCCTTTGCTATTTATTTTAGTAACTATGTCATAATTTTCTCATGCATATTGGTTACAATACCTACAATTAACAATTTATGTTATCAAAAGCTATTAGGCCTAATCTAGGTTTAGTTATCACCTGTTCCCTTTCTATGCATTAAGGGTATTTCTGGCTACACTATTCCCTTAATTTCGTTTTCCTTTCTTCTTTGGATCTTCACTTAAACAATGAAGTGTTTGAACTCCGTCCATAAATCTCCTTCTGTGATGTGATCATATTTTCGTTTTTAAGATTTGATGTGAATAGAAGCAAAGATTAAAATACAAAAAACTTCGACAAAGATTAATACTAAATTAATGTGAACTTCTTGGCAATACAACAAATAGGTTTTACATGACTCAGAAAACAAAACTTAGAGCTATTATTATATTTGTTGTGCAACTGTTACGATTTATGTGCAATTATTATTGTATTGAATTATTGAGTAAACATATTTGTGTAGATTTTGAATAATAATAATAATAATAAAAATAATAATAATAATAAAAATAATAATAATAATAAAAATAATAGTAATAATAATAATAATAATAATAATAATAATAATAATAATAATAATAATAATAATAATAATAATAATAATAATAATAATAATAATAATAATAATAATAATAATAGTAATAGTAATAATAATAATAATAATGATGATAATAATAATAATAATAATAATAATAATAATAATAATAATAATAATAATAATAATAATAATAATAATAATAATAATAATAATAATAATAATAATAATAATAATAATAACGTTGACACTTCTAGTGTTAATACTTTTTGATTACATGTTGCGTACAAAAGCAATTATGTTCAGTGTTATTAATTCTCTGCAAGATATTTATAGCTCTTATTTTAAATTTGACATTCTCAACAGGATATTATTATGTTTCATTTGCGTCTTCATGGATTACGGTTTCGTTTTTAACTTAATTCTGTTTATTTTAAGATGCTGAATATTAATGTTGACATTTTGCATCTACTAATTGTTGAGTCCTATCAGATTAATTAATTTATTTTCAGGACTGTTTATATGCAATCTGTTATACTATTAATAATTCAGTACTTTTGGTATGATTGCCTTATATGATACTAATTCATTCAGTGGCATCGTCTCAAAATGTAAGCATGATATGCAGTCACACAAGTAAACAGATTCATTTTGAACAATTTTTATAACGATTGCAATTAGTCTCAGATTTGTAGCTATTCGTATAGAAAATATATTGCGAATCTGGTTTGTATTCTTCTATAAAATTCTTCATCGCAACCTTTTCTGTGGGACCGTTCCTCACTACCATATTGTTACATAACCAAAACATTCTATGACAAGTTGCTTATATATAAGGCAGTACTGACCAGAATAATTTTGCATATACCTGTGCTGAACAGGATTTACTTCATGAAAGAACCTGTATTTTGAATTGTTAGATGTTAATCGATATTAAATCGGCTATATGCACATAGTAAACCAAAGCGTGCAATACTGATATCCTGCGTTTTAAGTAGAATGGATATTCAGTTTAGGCTACAAAAGCCACGTCAACAATGTTTATAATAATTAACAATAAGTAATATCAAAATCTGCATAACATATTTACTTTTACCTCAAAGTAACCTAGTGTTGTAGGATTTCTAAGAATAATTAATACTTCAGCCACAACTTCACCGCTTGGGTGGCCTAGTGGTAGAGCGTCCGCCTCGAATGCGGGAAGTCGTGGGTTCAAAGCCCAGTCGAGTCATACCAAAGACTTATATAAAACGGGACTAACATCTGCCTCGCTTGTCGCTCAGCATTAAGAGGTCAGTGTTAGGACTGGCTGGCCAGCTGTGGTGATAATCTGACCGATGGGACATCATGCTACTTATCTGCGGCATGATGCCCCAGTGCTAAGCATCACTATAAACTGTCACACTGCAGACATTGTATCGATAGGACTGACAAATTATTGTTAAAGCTAAAAAACAAATCTAAATTACACACACATCAGCCAAACCTTTGTAGCTGATGTCCTTTCAAGGGTTGCAATCAGTGCCCTGAAACATTCCTACAAGTTAGCTAACACCTATATCTACCACACTGGACACATTCATCGCTGTAAAAGTCCAGCCAACCACAATTATAACGTACACACTTATAAAATCGACTCCTATATCGTGTGTATTGTTTTTGGATGTCATAAAAACAGAATGAAATAATTCAAACTTATACTGGATTAAAACATGCGATATTCTTGTAATGTATATATTAGATTTTAGCACAGGTAAAGCACGTGTTAACTTGTCATTTCAACATTCACTGCTGCGGAAATATCAATATTAAGTTTATTAATTGATACTAAAAATTCTGCTCAAAATGCCGTTTATATAAAGCAATCAAACAAATGTTTTTTTTAATCTGTACGTGAACTGCATAGAATTTGTAAACTTTATAATCGAGGCCAAAGGAAATTTAAAAAACGCCAATTTAGAAACGATTTAACATCACGGTTTGAATATTTATTTAATACTTACTAATAATATTTATTGCTTATTTTGACTGACTAAATCTTCAATGAGTTTGGACTATTTATATTTGCATTGTATGATTTTGTAATGTCTTCTTACATACATTTATGACTGCAATCAGTATATAGTTGAGCTTGAGGTCACCTTCCTAATTGCAACGTTGCTTACCTGGTTCCTATAAGCACACATTCTGAGATAGAATCTAGCTTTGAGATTATGGAGATATGATCCTCTCGTACATTTAGACTGAAGAGGCTTCTTCAAAGTATTTTTTTTTGGAAATATTAATAAGCTCGACTGCCTTTGAAATAAATGACATAGTCGGCATTCAAACAACAAAGACAGACAGGTTCTAGTACTTTTTTCCATTGTCCTAGATATAATTTGTGTTAACTTGACAGACTTATATTATCCAGTATTTTATATATTTTTGCCAATAGGCCTATCTTCTCTCTCTATCTCTCTCTCTCTCTCTCTCTCTCTCTCTCTCTCTCTCTCTCTCTCTCTCTCTCTCTCTCTCTCTCTCTCTCTCTCTCTCTCTCTCTCTCTCTCTCTCTCTCTATATATATATATATATATATATATATATATATATATATATATATATATATATATAGATGCAATAAACTGACGACGAACAGTACGAAACTAGTAACTAACTAGCCTAAGCGCTTTCGACTCTTAATGAGTCTTTTTTAAAGGCAAATACAAAACATAGTTACGACAAACAAATAAACACAAAAACGTTGCGTTTGTGAACCTCTACATTTCTATCTTCACATGTGCTAAAACTATAAATACAACCAGCTTGTATAGACTAGTTGCGGAAACTGAAAACGTTGTATAATTCCCTAAAAGTCTACAAGCCAAAGCGACATCTATTTTTATGTACACAAAGTATCGAGAGAGAGAGAGAGAAATGAGTGAGAGACAGACTGATGACAGAGATACACAGAGTCGGTGACAGATATACACAGACACAAAGACGCACGAAAGAAAACATTGTGTCGGAGTTGATCTGAATCTGAATATTGGTCGTTATAGCATGCCACAATCTTGTCTGTATCGTTGCAGAATAATGGTGATTCGGATCCTATTTCTGCTCTGTTTGATTCACCTCGTTCTCAACCAGAAATGCACAGACAGTGATCGCCTGAATGGTACCTAATATTTTACCACTTTACAAACAGTACACCATTCGATATAATTCTCCTTATCAACATACGAACCAGAAAACTACAACAAAACAATGTGTAAGCACTGACCCATGGGGAGTTCAGCAATGGAACCTTCACTGCAGTTAATTGAGATAGCTACAATCTGTTGATTTATTCTCTTTAACATACAAAATAAACTATAATCCATGGAAATAGGTCACATGAAAATGTTTCTTAATAATGAATTCCATTAAGTCTTTTTACAAATAAATACTCTTATTCCAATTCCATTAATATCAATATTTAAATTCTTCACTTGCCAATTACTGTACCGCATCCTCTCTTAAAGTGAAACATGAAAAGTTTAAACATTCCGTGTTAGTTTCAATTATAATGTGTAAGGAAGTCATATTTGAAACATATATGTGAAATAAATTAAAAATAATCCAGTTGTCAAAAGATAAATGTTCAAATAATAACCAATGTATGTACATGAGTCCTATTTTCATTTGAGCTTACTTCCCTTTGTACTTATATGCTACATATTAAAAGTAAAACTGATGCTTATTCGTATATTTTGTAGTTTCTTTTTTAAGCCACACGGATCCTATAACTAACTGGAAACATTTATTAACTCGTAAAACTGTTTTCAATTAATTGTAAAGGTTGTGTTATATAGGAGTATTGTCATACTATGCCGACCAAGATTTACATTTGTAACAACAAAATAACATAATTCACAAACGTTTTGTTTTTTAACCTACATTAATTTCTTAATAGCTGTTTGACAAATATATTTTAATATTCTTTGCTAAATGTAACCGGAAAAGACTATTATATTTGTGTATGTACCGGCGGCATTTTTAATAATTACATAGAATTACTGTTCTAGCTTTCAAGCTAAGTAGAAGAAAGTAAAGACAGCACACTGTTAAGTAAAATCGAAAACCAAATTATTTCCCTAGAATACAATGTGAAAATTACAAGGACATATAAAATAGCGTCAGTTACATTCCAGATAATCTAAAATGTCCATTCATAAATCCAAACGTTTTAAATGTTCCATGTGACTTCAGATAGTCCTGAATGTATTTAGGTACCAAACTATTGTAATCTAGAAGGTTTCTGAATATCTTGATGATAATAACAGTAGAATGGTAGGCCCACATGTGTCAATGTACAATTAGTAATTCAAATTAGAAATTTCGGTAAATGATTTCTCTCAAAATATATTATGACAAAACTAAAACTGATTACATAGACTGATGTTCTAGTAGTAACGAAGGCTGTTTTCAAGAAAGCACAGCTAATATACAATCACCGGATTTAAGACGCAACAGAATGCCATGCAATGCTTGTTTCTAATGGAGGCTCCCATCTATTGTCTACACGTTATCTTCCAGATGGTCCTAATATTTTCATCAAGGACAGGCCTTGAACTCACATTTTATAAACTGTATTAACAAAGCATGGTACTAATTATATAAGCACAACGCTCAACCTTGGAAAAAGGAATTACATATATTCTAAATATAAATAATAAGCATATTTATATAGGTGCAATATTAAACAAAATTGTATAATTGCAGGCTTTTATTAGGACACAAACAATAATTATTAATTAATTAATCTTCCCTATAGAGATATTATTTAATTAATGTCTTCATAGAAATAGCGTGACGTTGATAAAGCCTGATTTCATATATGTTTACAGATATACAAACTCGCGCACACACACACACACACACACAGATATATATATATATATATATATATATATATATATATATATATATATATATATATATATATATATATATATATATATATATATATATATATATATATATATATATCGAAGGAGCAAACCTTGCCTTACGAAAGAAAACGTTACAGTCATCTACCTGGCATGAAGGAAACTTTACGTATTCATCGAACCTTGCTGTTGATGGGGATACATCGACGGTTTGGTATAGAAAGTCGTGCAGTCACACTGGTGTAAATGGACCTCGACCAGCGTGGTGGAGCGTTGATATCGGAGAGGAGCGGATTTTGAAAAAAAATTATTATTTTCAATAGGAATGATCGTATGTATGTTCTTTCTGTTTTTTATGGGGTTTTTTGGTTTTGTTCTCTCTAGAATACATTTAATTTTAGATCAAATACTAACGATCCTAATACCAGTTTGACACAATCAATTCAGGTTTACAATTTGGTGCCAATTGTAGATTAACATTCACATAAAAGTTTGTATAGAATATGATTTTTATTGAATAATATAATTTACAAATATGTATTTCGTTAGTGAATTCTCAACACGAGACTTAAATTACTTACATGTCTAGATTCGTAATAATTTTGAGTGAACGGTGCTTGTATTTGTGTACATTTAATATGCAAATTACAATAACTCCTTCTAAATCACTAAATAGATCAAAACTACAACAGTATTAAATAGTATTTGCGGGGATCGAATATTATATAGTGCCAACCGATTTAAGGTCTCTACTTGAAATTAAGGTAAGCTCTGTTTCAAATGGTATGATTTGTAGCTGTGCAGAATGACGGGATGGTGTACACTCGATAGGTTTATTTCGTGTGATGAATCTGATTGTAATATGTAAGAAGTGTTGGGCAGAAAATGTGAATTTGGCTTACCGTCGAAATGAAAGACCATTGGAATGTATTGTAATAAATAGAATCATACATTTACATTGATATATATATATATATATATATATATATATATATATATATATATATATATATATATATATATATATATATATATATATATATATGAGGGGGTCTATCCGGTTTTTAAAAATGTGGGACAGGTGTGTGTGTGTTTGCATATGCATGTGTAAGTAAAACACAGAGTTAACGCATAGTTATCTACTATCTAGAGCGAAATAATGTAATAACCATTCCCACCCTTTTTTAAAGTAATATATTCTTTCCCATTATATATAATCCCTATCCCTCCCGACACCATCCTTTTAAAAATGAAAGTCCCTTCTAAATATTTTCATATCAGTACACTGTTGTGTTATTTAAATCGAATATCTGTTTAATAT